ATTCATCTCAGTCCCGATTTCGTCACCGGGGACAAGTACGACGATGAGACTGCCGGTGAGTTCTGAGTCCATCTTGACCGGTGCTACTCGTTGGGATCGATCTGGAAAGGAAGTAAGGTAAAACCATCTAAGTTCGGACAGTGCCTAAGTTTGGACACTATCACGTATGTCGTCACAAAACCAAGCATTGGTGAATTCTCCCTCCGAAACAGTTCTTCGCAGCTTGGAGAGCTATTCCTGAGGGTGACCTCGCAAATGCTTTGTTTTATAACAATTTAAGCTATAGTGTCCGAACAAAGGTACTATCCTAACTTAGATGGTTTTACCCTAGATGGGGGGTGGTGTATCCGTATGTTCGTGTCAGGATTTGTCAGGATTCATTCTGCGAAGTTTCGGCAGATGGGAAAATTTCGAAATGCAAATGTTCCATTTTCTCTTTCGAGAAAATGGGACCGCCAATACAATGTCTCAAACTTCGCAAAATATCAGAAATTTCACAAAGGGATTTCGAAGATACGAGGGGGAGCAAATTCTGAGCGTGCCCATCGAAGGCCTGCACGAACATCCGCCGAAATTTGATTTTCCGTGTGCAGCGAAGATGCTGGTGCGTGAGTGGGCTCACTACAGATGGGGCGTGTTCGGAGAGGCGGGCTGCCCTCACGACCACCGCTACCCGAGCTACTACTACCGAGACGACCGCGACGTCGTCGCGTCGTCCTGCGTCAACGGGACTCTCGACGGCCACTTCCGGCAAGTCTCGAGTCTTCGACGGGACCGTGGTGTCGGATCGTGAGGCTCGGGGAAACGACCCGACCGACCGACTCTAATCGTTGCTCTGTTTCGTGCTCTTGCGATCTCTAGGAGAAAATCGATGGGCATAGTTTTCCAACGAGAGGGGATCCCTGCTCGACATTAACGTCCTTTAACACTTTTCTTGCACGTCAGAAAAGAGCATGCCGAGTATATGAGTCTTCCTTCAGAAACGCAAAGGAAGACGTACCGTATACTCGACACGAAGGCACGAGAAAAGTCGGTAGGGTGTTTTGACAAAAGAGTAAGCGGAACCTTGTCGTCCGTCGGGTGACCTCTCCTGTAATCATCCCGATCGGCAGTACGCAACCGAGCCTTCAGGCCCATAGGTCCCTGACGCGATGTGATCCTCGTTGTGGTGAATCAGGAGCTTGGAGACGGGGGAGACGTGTAACCCTGAGGAAACCCGGGACGGCTGCATGTTCGTCCCGCTCCAGTCCAGCCGGGCGACCTCCTCCATCGCCAGCTACGCCCATCTTCACTCCGTGAGTGCTCCCCCCCCCCCCTCCCCTACCCCCTCCCCAGTTGAGTTGCGTCAGAGCTCGAGGCTTTGATCGTTTCGCTCGTGCGAAGATGAAGGACTTCTGCGATGCCGGGAGCCACGTGGAAGCGAGTCCGACGCCTCAGAATCTGCTGTGCGGCGGGGAGAGCGTCTGGACGGTCATCCGCCGGCACCCGGACTTCTTGCACGGCCCAACGTGAGACTCCTGCGCGTTAAGGTCCCAAGAGATCAATGTCGCGGGGAAAGTTCCTGAGAAATTTTTATCGAAACGCATTTGCATTCGTTTCTAACTGCCCGATCTCTACCCTTTTAAAATTATCATGCTTGAGCGAGTGATTTACAGAGAATTGATTTTGTTCACAACGACCATAGTAACAGCCATTCTCACGAACTAGAGGCCACTATGCACTATGGGTAATTTTTTAATATTTATTTTCATCTTTTATCTTGATTTCGATTTTGTATGACTCGATTTTTGCTGGCCTGTCGCTGTTCGGACGTTTCCAAAAAAAAAAAGGTTCGCGCAAAGCCTCCAGGATCGTGCAAATAATCGTTTGTCAGCAGAGGGAACCCCGGAGCGGGAAAGACGGGTCCGGTCCCGAAAATCCTCCTCCTCTATCCTCCTTCTCCCTCTTTCATCTTCGCCCTCGACTCCGCCATCTTCGTCGGGAACCTCTGGACCCAACACAACACCGTACGTCCGAAAAGAGTCCTCCGTTTCCTCGTCCTCCCTCGCCCTCTCACCCCGCCTCCCTCATCCTCTCACCCCGCTTCCCTCATCCTCTCACCCCCTCTCGGAACGATCCCCGCGCGATCTCGACCTCAGAGCTTCGGCGAGGCGGTCTGCAGCGCCATCAACTTCTGGAGGGAGGAACGAGTCTCCTACGACACTCGGGTGGAGTTCCTCCTCTTCGGGTCTCGGGTGGAGACCCTCAAGTCCGACTTTCGATATCCGTGCGATCTGAAGGGCCAGGAAAAAACCACTTTCTCCGGCAGGGGGCGGTGTGTCGGATGTGCTCTTCGGGCTGCCGCTCAGGTCAATTTTCGACTGTCATCTTTTTTTCAGAGGCGTAGCAATGCTTTTGTTTGGGGAAGGTAATTAATCTCACTTCGGAAGTTCTGAGTCCTACTTGTGCCGATTTTTTTTAAAAAGCATTAATCAAATAAATATATAAATAATAGGTTAAGTAAAAAATATAGCAATCATGGTATATCCAGTAGTTTTTGCAAAGGTGAAGAACTCCTTCGAAATTCTGCAGTATCTTCGTGCAAAAGTAGTAAATAGCGCTTAAATAACCACAGTATTTTTTTTACCATGGACAAGGAAATCGGTAAATGCAAGTTCAACACAGACTTCATAAGAGGCCGATGCCAGTCAAATCACTCCATTAAAAAAAAAATTCACGTACTCGAGCGATTCGTTTGACTCGTGGCAGAGGTCGGGCGAGCTCGGCGGGACGCCGATCGTGATGCTGATGGGAGTCGGGCCGGAGGACGGGGACCGGGGGGAAGGCTTCGTCTCGGTCGCCGAGGCCCTGGAGGCTGCGAGGCCGGCCGTGAGGCGCATTTTCGCCTTCTCGCTTCTGTGAGTCGCGAGAACGCTTTTCGACGGGTTTTATTTTTTCTCCATCGTTTATTTGATTTTTTCCCGGTCGTAGGGACGCAGCAGCCCAAACGATGGAGACGATCGGCTCGGGATCGAACGGCGAGGTCTACCACATACCGTTGAGGGAGCGGCCGTCGACCCTGGACCTCGCTCTCACCGACGCCCTCCGGGTCGTCGATGTCACACGCACCAATCGAAGCTACCAGGTCCGTTCTCGTGAATTCTCTTCCCACGGAGTCGTTTCGAGATGGGAGAAGATCTAGGTCCTCGAGCAGTTGGCGTCTCACTGGAGGGAGAACGGGGCATCCCTGGATGGGACGTTCGGGGTGGAACCGGGGATGGGGAATCATTTGGTCTGGAGTGTCACTTTCTTCCCTTCGCTCCCGCCCCGCCTCTATCCCTACGTTAACATCACGGATCCCTTCGGCCAGCGATTTTCCGAGGAACAAGTCTCCTATATCCGCTACAGAGGACGGCGTTTCGATTTCCGCTTCCACGATGCCACGGTACGACCGTTGACCACTGATGGCTCGGTTTCGGGGTTAGGTCAGCCCCGGGGTTTTAGTTTATTTGCTTATTTTTTCTTCCTTTAGCGTTCCCCCCCTCCCCTCAGTTTTTGATTATATCTTCGCTTCGTTATCAGACTCACAACGCCGTCGATCGCTTGCCATTTCCAGCCAGGTCTCTGGGAATACGCCGTGAAGCTGCCGGAGAAGTGGACGGTGGAGGTGTCGGCCCAGAGTTTCGCTCGGGGGGACGTGGACCGGATCGAGACGAGGGCTTGGGTGGAACGCTTCACGGTCCGCTTGGGGGGGTCCAGCCGGCCGGTGGCGGTTCTCAGGGTCTTCGTCGTCAAGGATGGAGACCCGGTCCTCGGGGCAAGGGTCAGGTGAGGTTTCTGGTTTTGGTAGAAATTAGCCCTTCGAAGGCGGGTTTGCGGAGGACGTCCGTGCCGCCGTTGAGTTGTTTCTAGGAAAGTGGGAGTCAGAGGTCATTCGGTTCAGAATGAGGAAAGATCTGGAAAGATCCTCGCAGAAGAGTACTGAAGGAGAGAAAATTCTTCCAGAGCCGAGGTGTTCAACGCCGGCGGAACGAAGGGACACGACCTCGAAGACGACGGGTTGGGTGAAGACATCACGCCCGGGGATGGGGTCTATACGTCAGAATACGTGGATCTCCGGGAACCCGGTCGGTACTTCGTCACGGCCACGGTAGAAAACCCGGACGGGACGGCATTCATCGTCGGCTTCAATCGTAACCACGTCCGTGCTCGTACCTTCGCTCGGAACGAGAAGCAATTAGCCTCTTGATGCCTACGATGTAGGGGGGTGGAGGCGGATACCCGTTCACGGATGCACGTGGGAAGGGTACGGAGTGAACATTCCCCTGGTTCCTTTCTCCAGGGTCATCGTCGTCGGGTCTTTTCACGTGAGGTGTCTTGCATCTCGGTGTGTGTGTGTGTGTGTGTGTGTGGGGGGGGGGGGGGGTTAAAGCCGTGTTCAGGGTTTGTCTCATTCTGTAGGCCCCTGAGACGATACGAACCTAGTGTCTGCTGAAGAAAGGAGGGAAATGGTATACCTGCACAGTATATACAGGTATTTCAGAAAGCCTTCGATCACTTTGAATGGGGGGGGGGGGTTAAAGCCGTGTTCAGGGTTTGTCTCATTCTGTAGGCCCCATTCCCTAAGATGAGGCCGGCTTGCTGGGGAATGATAGAATTTGGCATAGGGGCGGCCGAGAAGGAAAAATCTGGTTTATTATGGACACTGACCCCAGAGCCTGACAAGGGGGGAGGGGGGAGATCGTCGGATACAAGGTCCCGGTGATCTTCAATCCTTGCTGGGTTTCTTCGTTTTTGGGTTAAATAATCGATAATCGTAGCTGTTGAAAATGCGGATAAAACATGGAAAATACGCACACCGACGTTCGGGATATGCTCCCGAAAGAACTGTATATATTAAGCGTATTCATCGGATACTTCGGGCCGAGTTTTCGTTTTGGAGAATTCGGGAACACGAGTTGCACGGACGCGTGTTCGAGTCCTTTGTGTCGCGATATGAAATACGCCCGTTCTCCGGTAACATGCTCTCGCTTTTACGACGGGAAAGGGGTCACAAGCGATGCAACGATCCTCCGACGAGCTCGGCGAGCGACATTCAGGAACGAGACCGGTTCACCCTAGAGGTGCTTTGGGGTTGTCACGTGTGGATTTCTCGAAATATTATAAGGCGTTACGAGGAACTCCAAAGGTTTCGTGGCTCGTATCTCGTGAACGTTCGGTGGGGTTCATGGTCATATAACTATTTTTTTTTGGTCGTTGCATTTGAAATGTCCATTGTATCGAGGTTCCCCTTGACAGGACTATACTTCGATTGATTTACACCCCACCACAATTCGTTGGGGTCTCCTCTTATGTTTTTTTTTTTCGATTCCTTTTCCATCACAGGCAGTTTCTTCATCGTGTTAGATTTTCTTCATACTCAAAATTCACGAGCAATCCTATTTGCGTACCTCTTTTTCCTTTTCCTGCAGTTGCAATCGGGTGAGTGGTCTAGCCTGCAGGAGCGGAAACTCCCCTTACAAATCAGGGATTTAAAGGCGGAGAAAATCGATGATGGCTTGGGAGTTCGATTATCCTGGACCCCGATGTTCCCCAAGTCTAACAGTTGCGACTTCATCTGACCATTTAACTTTTTTTTTTTACTATCCTATTGCAGCGTTGATGTCTATTTGCCCACTCTCTCTCACGACAGAGGAGCCGGTGTCGACGCTCTGCGCGAGCAGGTACGGCGAGCTGTCGTCGCCGGAGTCGGCGGCTCGAGCCCCGAAGGCGAGCTGGGAAGCGGGGGAGGGGAAGCGACAGGCGGTCAGCCTGCGTTTCGCGGATCCTCCCGAGACGGGGATCCGGTTCTGTGTCGTCACCGCCGTCGACGGAGAGGGAAAAAGGGCTCTCAGGTCCAACGTCGTCGCGCTGAAATACGACGAGTTTTTCCCGAGATCCGGCAACGTGAGTGCCGTCGCACTCCGATGGAGGAGGCGCGTCGCGATCTGACGTCTGATCGGTTTCCCCAGCTGACGCAGGCTCGTAACGCGACGGGCGAGAGATCGGGCCGCTTCCTTCAGATGTTCGCCGTCGAGCCGATCGGAGTCGGGATCGGGTTTTTGGCCGGAGTTTCCCTCTGCGCTCTCCCTGCCCTTGTCCTCTACGCGATGCGCAAGAGACGGCAGAGTGCCGCAACTTCGCCTTGTCAGGTCCGACTCCTTTCACCGTCGATAAAAAAATGTAGCTTCTCGTGCGAGACGACCTAGGTGAAAAGTGCAGGTGGGGGCAGCAGACACAGGGACAAGGGACGAGGATTTGGTGGGCACAGGGCGAGCGGACGTGGGGCCGGCGGGCACGGGGTCTGGGAGCACGGGACCAGCAGGCACGGGACCAGCAGGCACGGGACCAGCAGGCACGGGACCAGCAGGCACGGGGCCAGCAGGCAGGCCCCGGCAGAAAAAGTACGCAGGTAGGCCTTCGGATGTAGGCGATGGGGTGACGAGGGAGAACCCACAGCCACCACTGGACACCGACTGGAAGCAGGACTTGCCCCATCCCGAGGTGTCCGGTCAGCATCCGGTCAACCGCGGCACTGCCATCGACAACGACGGTGGCAAAATCGTCGGCAACAACACGAAGAACGCAGCCGGGTACGACATCGGCATGATGTTCGGGGTGCATCGCGCTCGATCCTCTTCGCGATTACCCCTGATCGTGGGTACGTCACGATCAGGGCGACATCGTCGACTGAGACTGAGGGTGATTTCGATTTGGCAACAGCGAACCGAAGTCACCCGGAGCACCGAACGAAGCGGCGAAACGCGACGAGCCCCAAATCGTGGAGCGAAAAGAGAAGACTACGAACGTCAGCCCGCAGCGTTTCCAGCCCCCCGTGATCGACCGCGAAAGGGTTCCCAAGCCTTTCCAACCCCAGGACGCCACTCGCATTCACCACCCTGCCGCGAAGGTCGGTTTCGATCCCGATAGATTCCGTGTTAATGGTTGCTCGTCGGTTTACGGTTCCACGGCTCCGGGATTTTACCGTGAAAGATCACTTTAGTAGGGAAATCAGCGCCCTCGTGTTTCGTTTTTGCAAGGTAAGCTTCGCAGACCTTCTTTCTCAGAAAGGTACCACCCATCACGCTTGCTTTCACTTTTTCCACTCCATCGCTGCAACCACTCATCCCATCCACTTCCGATATCGATGAAAACATTCCGACGAAACCATTCTGACAGATCTGCATACCAACATATATGCCAAGACCATTGCATAGGAGTACATCCAAGAGTAAGGCATCCCACCAGCACTCAATGAAATTAGGAAGCAAATGAGCAAATGCCACCTGGAATATATTGTCAGCAAGTTCCCGGGGGGGCCATGGGCCGTCAGTTCGACCCTGGATGTCGTGAATCGCTGGGTCAAGTATATCCAATTCAAGGGGGATTACTTCAGACAATCAAGCAATCAATTATCAAATTGAGTCCTTCCTTTTCATGTGGGCAATGGGGTGAGAACTTCTTGATCACCTCTCGCTAAGTCCGGTCGAATTACTTCTCAGGCTATAGATACTTGCAGACAAGTTGATTCCATCAACAAGGAAACAGACGGCATCGTGGGATTTTCACTGATATAATATGATGCTTCAGCATGTCTGTAACATTCATGTATGCTGCAATATTGCGATTGTTGGTGCTCCGCTTCACTTAATTCCCACGGACGTTCCAGGTGGAATGAGGCGGCGATTGGTCGGGTTCGTGAATTGTCTTACATAGCCCGATTCTTTGCCGCACTCAGGGACGAAAAAAAATTACCAGAAGCATTCGGTTAAATTATCAAAACAAATAAAAGACATCGGGTCCATCCACTGGGGAAATCTCAAAGAAGTCTTTCTACTGCCACTAGGCAGCAAAGAATAAATGGACGAAGAAATACGACAGATTGCAATGATCATACTGTGCATGTTCACATTATGCAGGATAAATTGCATTACATTTCGAAGTTTTGCCATGACAGATTACTTCCCCCCGCCTTCCCACTGCATTTTTGTGTGCAGAGACTCCCTTTACTACGGACCTGCCAAGGAGACAAGCAGAAGGAGGAATAGAAAGAAGAGGAGGAGGAGAAAGAAGAAATGAAGGAAGGGTAGAAGGAAGACAACAAGAAAGAGAGGGAGTAGGAGAAAGAAAACTGAGGCCAGAAAGTGAGAATCGGAAGCAGGAGCCACGGGGAAGGAGGCAGACCAAGTCGAGGACACGACACCGGACGCCCTCCCCCGAGTTCCCGCGGCACCACCACGGCGGCAGGACTAACCACCCCCATCCCCGGCATGGCGCGAGTCCAACCGGGCACCGGAATCGGAGCAGGAGGCGACCGATGCCCGACCACGGGCACGGGGAGAAGGGCCGGGTTCCCCGGGGAAACCCGCAGAGAGGAACGAATAAGGCGGACGAAGAGGCGCGCAGACGGGCTCAAGTCAACCCCAGGAAATAAAGAGAAAGAGCAAACTCTCGTCCAGTTTGTTGGCGGAGCGTACGGCAGGAAATTCCTCGCTGAACTTCCTGAGTTTTGTCCCCAAAGAGACCCCTCATTTTGGAATAATACATTTGAGGTATTTGAGGTATATACTAGTAGAAGGTATGGTGAAAGAGACCCCCGAATTTTAGCTGATTTATCTCTGATTTCTCCTTACTGGAGCAATTTTCATGAATCTTTCATAGTGTATTGACATGTTCCCAGTAGAATTTAGGAATTTCAACTAAATTCGTTAAACTAAAGCAAAGGCAATGAGCGGTTATTCAAAAGAAATTGGATGTTGACAAAGGAAGGGAACTCGGACCTCGCTTGGCTCATCTTACAACGCAAATGTTTGGAAAATCTGAAGAAACTTAAAAGAAGCTCTCTGTATTGATACTTTTTGATTCATTAGCATCAGAAAAGCTTACGTCTGCTAAAAAAGGAAAGCCCAAATCATACAATAAAAAGGGAGGAGTGTTTGATATGACCTTGATGAGATGCAAGGACAGCGCTCGGGCATTTCCTCCATCCCATTACCAGCACCCGTGAAAGTCCATTTTTAATACAAATGCGCAATTCGTTTCCTTTGAATAATTTGTCAGGGCCTTGCCTCGATGCAATGAATTTGAATGAAATGGCACAAATCTGCTGGGAACATATGTAATGCACAGGATACCACTTCTCTACGTCTTCAAACTCGGTTGGACAAAAGCATTATTTCCGGTCGGTTTTTTATATTTATTTTGTTAAGGTTTAAGGTTGAGGTAGGGACGCCAAGGGGCATTCCTGCCCATTCCGTGTCGAAGTGAAGCATTCGTATGAAGTAAGTCCTCCCCTTTTAAAGGCCAATAATTTTTGGGAGCATATCCATCCGCTGCTTAATCGCTTACAGTTATATTATTGCCATTTTCTTTCCTCCAGAGGTATCTAACTTCTTCTTGGAGTTAATCACGAATGTGGCAGCTACAATATCAAACAACTAATGCTTTCCGCACATTCACTACCCTACAAATAGGGAAGGCTTTCCGCAACTTTAATCTCACGAGGGGCTTACGCAACTTGGATCCAACTGTTGTCACAGAAGGTGGAACAAGGGAAGAAGTATACGGTGAACTCCATTCCTCTAATGCGAAATCCTACTGTATCTGGGGCAGACATTCCCATTGGGTCGGGTGTTCGTCCCGTGGAAAATGTGTGACCATGGCAACACTGATGCTGGCATGGCGAACCGGAGGAGAACATATTCAACAAGTAGCGAAACAGATCATTTCCAGTCCATTAATGAGAGACCTGTGGATGAAATTTCACTCGAGTTCTTTTACAAACCACATACCGTTACGCTTCTCACTGCTTCCATCGGAGTTTTAATATACTTCGCCTTCTCCCGGTGAGTTCGCCAGCTTGCACTTTCTTTAAGGTAACCTATGCCTAAGTCATAACGCACCTAGGCCCAACTAGGCTGGCCTGCCCTAACGTGGGCACAACTTGAGCGCAGCTATCATACATCGTAGATGGAAAAGTTGGTCAGAACCAAAACTTCCCACCTTTGCTAGTTGTGAAAGGTAAATGATAACTGGTGGATGCCTTCCAATAAAGGGAATTAAGACAAAATGCAAAAGCAACCCACCCATATTCACTTCTCACGTTCGTTTCTTAAATCGTTAAATTCTTCAGAGTCTCTAAAAGCCAAGCACTAAGTAATGGTCCTGCAAACTCAATGCTGCCTCCCTGCTCCAGTGGTAGCCATACTGATAGAAGGAGCCAGTAGCAATGCCAATGCACACATAATTCTATCTACTTCTTGACTCTTGAATGAAACTCAGGCTAATGTTCCCCACAGCTCCTTGGCAATTTCATAAACTTGACATTTTCCAACTCTGCCAATTGTCCCCATACCCTACAGTCTGCTTTAAACATTTTTTATTATCCCATCCATAACATTGATTTCATATCAACTATGCCAGTATGTCACCTTGAGCAATTACTAATCTTTTCTTCTAAGCAAGAAGAAAGTTTAAAAACTCAAGAAAATGCAACCAAAGATCATTTACCTTTCCTGACAAAAGGGAAGTAAGTGATATGGGAGGAGTGCTTTTGGATTTTGTCTAATTCTCCCCTTATTGGAGTCCATCAGAGATTGTTTACTGTAATCCACTAGACTGTCTGGTAGATCAAGCATTATTTGTCTACAATTACCCCATGGTTCTTAATAATATTTATAGTTAATAAACCAATTTATATTTTTTGCAGGGATGACAAGAAGAGCTTTGAGGACAATGTCCTCTCTGGAATCTTGTGTGTTATATTCTTCTTCCTCATTATCTCAGTCTTGGCCTTCCCAAATGGCCCATTCACCCGTCCACATCCTGCCGTTTGGAGGATGGTGTTTGGAATCTCAGTTCTCTATCTTATGGCCTTGCTCTTTCTGCTCTTCCAAGACTACCAGACTGTGAAGAACATTGTTTTATGGTTCTATCCAGATCTTGCTGACTTCCATATTGACATGGAAAAGGTAGGCCAATATGCTAAATTTCACAAATTTCACATATTGAAAAAGTGATTTCTAATTGCCATTGTTTCAGGTTGTCTATAGTTTCACCCAGTAATTTAGTTTTGGGGGACCAGTGGGGACAGATGTCCCCCCCCCCATTTGAAGAAAAAAAGGAAGGAAGAAAAATATGCATAAAATGCTTGAGAACAGTGTCCCAAAGTTTCCATGCCTGGTCACTTTTTCCATTCCCACCACACTTATGATTTCACTGGTGATTGGAGAATACCTAAAACTAAGCTGCATGGCATGAAAGTAGGCCTTGTCCTGTGATTGACAAACCTTGCTTTGTCTCAAGTGATTCATATATAGTTTCCTACCCAAGTGATAAAGTTTAGTAGACCTGCCAATAAAAGTGGCAAGCCTATTTAATCTTAGACCTCTCTTATTGGGCGAACTTGAGCCTTAAGCAATAATATTAGTAGGGCCATGAGGAACATGCAAATTGTAGAATGTCCATGAAGATTTGTGTTGCTGGTTGGCTGATGGCTTTGTCAAAATTCAGGGATGAAAATTTCTTAGCCCATGGTAATAATGGTTTCTTTTTTATGATAATGCTGGATCTATTCATGGTACATTGTCTATTTTCTCATTTTTTAAACTTTCTATACATCCTCTTGTGCTTTAGATTCATTTGATCACCTTCTATTAATATTCCAGGAATATGGAGTTAATTGTTCTGATGTCACCTTTGAGAAGCTTTGGAGTCACATGGATGTGTTTGCTTTTGGCCATTTCTTTGGTTGGGTCATGAAAGCTGTCCTTGTTCGTCACTATGGGATCCTGTGGACCATCTCAGTCATGTGGGAAATCACAGAGGTAAGTTCTTGGATCTTTCCCCCCCATTTTTAGAAGTATGGTATAGCTTAATTTATGGCCTTCCATCAGTCTATCTATGCCTTCAGATTTATTTCCAAGACCTTAATTATCAACACGTAGCATGGAAAAAAAATCTAGAATGTTGATGTTTGTGAAGAAGACATAGTTATATTGTCAGCTTGACATGTGCTGTTGGTCAGCTACTTTTAAAGTCTGACGAGTTGAGAGGCCAGTCTTCATCCTCCTTGTTTTCCTAAAACTAAGGCATAGCACAATATTTAAGCATTTGAAAATAACATGGTGATCACTCATGATTGTGATGCATGCTATCATCCAACATAGCTTGATGTGGTACAGCATGGTACTTCATAGCACATTGACCATGCTGAGTAATTTAAAAAAAATTATTTTGCAGATTTAAAAGAAGAACTTTGAAATTTTCTTGAGTTAAATAAAAAGAAGCTCTATTGCCATTAAAAACTTCTTCAGGTTACAAATTAATTAGACTTTTTATTTATTTAACATATTTTGACCTGACTTTTTGGAGAGTTTGATCTGAAAAAATCTAGATCTAACTGTTCAAACAATGGGTCTAAAAGTACTGTTTTTGCTTTGACAAGAAGATGCACCTTTAAAAACTTAAAAGAAAATAATAAAGGCACTTTATATTTTGGAGTTAGTTTTGAGAAAAAATACTGGTAATTTTATATTTTTTGGTACATCTCATGAATCAGGTTCTTTCAGAATATTTCTTAAATATCTTGTTTGAAATCCACTCCTTGTGTGCAATGAATGGTTACTGACTTATTGATATATTCCAGGTGGCATTTGCTCATTTGCTTCCTAATTTCATTGAGTGCTGGTGGGATGCCTTACTCTTGGATGTACTCCTATGCAATGGTCTTGGCATATATGTTGGTATGCAGATCTGTCAGAAGCTAGAAATGCGAGACTATCGGTGGGAGAGTGTCAGGTAAGATGTGGTTCTATTTCTGTGCTTCCCTTGCCTCTAACTTTTTTCCATTAGCTTGCAATCTCCAAACACTGAACTCATGCTGATGAGATCAATTTCATTATCAATCCATTTGCTCTTGGGTAATTATGAGAACAACTTTCTTTCATTTTCATCAAATTCTTTCAGGTTTCCCTTGCTTAACTTTGGGACTGCATTAGTCTGCAGCACTATGTTGCAACCTCAGGGCCAACTTGTTTTGGAGATATTGTCCTCAACTTTGGATGGATACTGAACTTGATTATTGTACAGGTTCTAATGGATGTTCTGAAAACTTTCTGTTATGCTGTCTGCTTGTGCTTATATATGCAGGGATATCCAGTCAACGACAGGAAAGATCAAACGTTGTGTGCTCCAATTCACACCAGAGTCATGGACAAATGTACGATGGCTGGATCCTCAGAGCTCATACATGCGGTTCCTTGCCATCTGTCAAATGGTGGTGTTCTGGCAACTATCTGAACTCAATACCTTTTTCTTGAAACATATTTTTGAAATGCCTCCTGCTCACCCCATCGTCATTGCTCGTATCATCATCATTGGAGTGATTGTTGCACCAACCCTCAGGCAAGTAGCAGTTTTTACCTTTGCTCATCCCCCCTCATCCTTTCTGCCACCTAACACCAACTGTCCTTTCTGCCCATTGAAAAGCATAAAATAATGTTGCATTTGTCCTTTACTTGTGTGTGTGGGGTGGGGGGGGTGGGGGTTGGGTGGGAGAGGATTTCAATGAAGTTGATATGATAGTTGCTTACTTGCCATGCCTAGGCAAAGACTTGACTTTATTTTGGACTTGTGGTTCAAAAACTTTTTATGCACATGCCCCCCTTACAACCTTAACTTAGTGTCATACCCCCCCTACTGTGAGAAAATTACTTGGACCCATGCTTACAACCCTGTCTTAATGGAGTTAGCCTGAAGGAAATGTTTTCATCATACAATGAATAAAAAAATAAAAAAGGGACTCCCAACAGTTCAAGTATCAAGCCACAGCAACAATTGGCTGATCAGTCATCAAATTTAAGAGGGCTGATGAAGCTGCTCCTGGGCTCACAATCAATCAATTCTGGGATTGAATGGGCTATAATGATGACAAGCTAATTTCCAACATCCTGATGGAATTGACATTTGCTCTTCATTGCAGCCCCTGAAGAAAAATCAGTTCAGCACTGATAAGACAAGCTGATGTTGTGTCTGAGATGGAGAAGTGGTAATAGAATGGAAGACATTGAAAAAAAAAGGATTTTTAAGTGTATGATAGGGGATTTAGTTCTTCTTGAGAAAGAACCAGAGACCTTGGTTGTGTATTCCTGGGAAAGAGCAGCAGAAGAGGCTTCTCCTCTTTTTATTCCACAGTTCAGCCGAGGTCTGCCCTCTTTGAGTGCTTTGACTCAACTGAGAGGAAATTTGACAATTTTTCAGTAAAAAATGCATTAAGCATAATTTAGCACAATGAACTTGAAAATAAATTCTCAAAATAAAAACCAAAGTCCAGGATAATAACTATTTAAAAAAAATATGTATTGTTGAAAAAATAATGTTTCTCTTGAAGACTTCATTAAAAAAAATAAAATTTTAATGAAAATATTCATAGTATAAAGTTGTGTTGATGGCAAATGCTAATTCATGTTCAGGCTTAATACCAGGGCTTCTATGAGTTCTTGGTTCTTGAGCTTGTAAACTTGCCATACACTGTCATACTCATGGGTTTTGAGAACTTTTGTTCCACATATTTTTTCATGATTCTGCAGGGTTATTAGATTCAAGTGTAAGATTTACCATCAATTTTGTACACATATCTTGAGCACATTTCTCCATTATTCCAATTTCTTAGGAACAGTGATATTTTCATCCATGACATGGTCATTTTTGAACATTTTGAAGTCCAATAATTTTTGGGTGCTGTTAAACAAGTTGATAGTAACCCCTTCACCAGGTCATGTGAAGTCAAATTTTCTATTTACCCAACTTCTATTGTCCTCTTACACCTTGTCATTTCTTGAGGCATATGCTTCATCTGCATATCACACATATTCTTCATATCCCAGATCTCTGTGGTGGTACAAGTACACTCGAAGGAAACTCAGTCAGAGTGTGCTCAGAACAACTGGTTTCATTTTTTTTTATAATTGTGAAATTTGATCTCTAAAGCAACAGATGGTCCTAAAAGGGTGTCATCTTTGTATTCTGTTACTGTGCAAAAAAAATATTTAAATGAGACCTGTAGTTTTATTAAAGCAGTGATTGTTTTTGAGAATTTTTACAGTTTCATTTCTGTCACATTGAAATTGGCCAACTGGTTATCAGGCCCTATGGTGATAGACATATTGAAAGTTCAGTGACTTGCTTGATCCCTAAGGTTACCTTCCTGGTTTTTCTTACCACTATTACCAGTAGAGCCCTACTTATGAAGCATGTGTTTTTACAGAACTTTCAATCAATCCTACAATTGTGTAAGTTTGCTCTGGACTTAACTTTCAAAGGTAGGAGGCTTTGTCTGACACCAATACCACTACATTGAATGATTAAGGATTGCCTATTTCTTTCTCTTTTCATTTGATTTGGTTTCTTGTATTATAATTAGAGATTAGGTTAGAGAAAAAACTAACTGCATAGGATTTATCTGGTTATCCCTCCTAATTTTTCAATAGATTTTCCCATTCCCATTCAAGACTGTATTATATACTGATAGCAAAAGTTACTCCTAACTATGCTAAATTGCAGGCATTAAAAGTCCACCTGCAAATGTGCCTAGGTTTATTCTAATGCAAAAATAAAAGTCCATGAAAAAAGTGTCTGCAGTATTTGAAGTACTGCCTTAGGAGAGATTTGATGAGTGTGAGCAGATTTTATATGCCTGTTTTTGGTTGGCTTGTATTTCAGGCAGTATTACTCTTATGTGACAGACACTCAATGCAAGCGTGTTGGAACTCAGTGCTGGGTGTTTGGTGCCATCACCCTCACGGAGGCCCTCATATGCATAAAGTTTGGAGAGGATCTTTTCAAAAGGACTGAACTACGATACATTCTTCTGTGGCTTCTTATTCAGCTCATCATATCTGTCCTTTGTGTGCTGGGATGCATCATCTGGTCAAAGAGAAAAGATCAGGTTGGCTCCTGCATGCATACTCTATATGTTTCCAAGACTTGCATACTGTAGTTTTCTCATTGCTGAGACTTTGGTTACATCAACCAGGTTACATTTGCATAAAAGGTCATCCATTTGAGTCCCAAAAATTGACTGTGTAACCAGTTAACCAATTGAACTTTTTTAATTGGATAAGATTATGGACATAAAGGTTCAGAAAAACTCAGATCTTGCCACACAGAGATGTTTGGTACTTTATTCTACTAATTTAGAATCTGACATGATCAGGATGCAGTAAGTCATTCATCAGATGCTCACCATTGATTTTTGGAATTGAGAGTATGTATTAAGCATCACAGGATTCTTGCCAGTTTAATTTCTCAGCTGTGACTGGGGTAAAAGGAGAACCAAAGGTTATAGTGGACTATAGCAAAAAACCTAAATGATTCAAATTTCCACTTAAAATATCCAATTTCCAATCCACTTTTCCTCCCAGGTTATGAAATCAATGAAGAAAGGGAAGGTCACCCATTGGGATGAAGAAAACAAAGTCAATTCAAATCCCTCTCCTATGAAGAGAAGTGCCTATCAAGGTTAGTATGCTTCTCTCATCCTTGCACTTGTTTGTAGAGGAATTTCTCTTCTGATAAAATTTGATTTTATAGTCCTACTTCCTCCTTTGATGGTGGGATGTAGGTGTGCAAAACCAGAATTGGCTAATAGGCCTAAGATGTGAATGACACATGGCTTGATCTGCTTTAATAACTTTAAACCTGGTACATTTCAGTGGTTTGATTGATAACTGACCTCTGCAGGTAAAGATGGCGTTCATTTTCGAGGCCGAAAGGGACGAGAAAGGAAGTCCATTGAGTTGGTGAATGGATCCCCTCTAGATCCTTCTTGACATGGCAATAATTATTCTTTTTGTGCTCAAGTGCCTTCATTCATCAATGGCACAGTCAAATGGCAGGTGTTTTCCCTCCAACTAAGATAGTATTTCTTGTTGCTGGCATGTGACTGAAAATGTAAAGAGTTGAGTTTGAGTGGCAGGATGATGATTGATCTGCTAAGCCAGGAAAAGCAGTACTGTGATTAAAAGTAGGCATGAAATAAGAGGTGCTATGAGGAAGCAGCTATCTTGACATAGCCTATGCTATTTTTGCTCAAGAGTGTCCTCAAGACTGACTAAATCTTAGGAGTGCCAATAGTGTGTTTTTTTTTTTTTCCCTGTGTAGGCTCTGGATGTTTATCCATATTGGAACCAGACTGCCATTGGAATAGCCAAACATTTTTTGAAAGCATAAACTAGAAGAATGATTTTTTTCTCCTTGGTGTCTCTGTCATGACTAGGAGAGAACAGAAAAGGCTATGAGTGAATCTTTTGTTTTCATTTAGTTACACTAGATTCCTGCTGCTATGTATTTCTATCTGAAAAGATGCCGGTACATGAACTGCCTTGTGAGCTTAGTGCAGGAATATAGTCTTGACTAGTTGTGCATGATCTTGAGCATTGCCATGGTAGTATGGCTTGATTTAGATTTGAGAACTTGACACTTCTTCATGAGTGTCTAGAATATCCTGGTTGGCATGCATTCCTTGATTTTAGTGTACCTAGTCATCTTAGTTTTTTGTTTATCTGAAAACAATTCTTCAGTGAGTTTTGTCCTTTGCCTACAGTGGCATGTAGCATCTTACTAATTTCTGTTTTATGTGCAGCATACATCGATTAATCTTGAAAAACTTACCCATCAGTACATGCACAAACACTGATACATCTGGTTGTGATACAGTTAGCATTCAGTAAAAATAGGAATTCATTTTTATTTCATTCCAATGTACAATTGGGTAACTGGTACTGATCAGAGTTTATTGCAGGAAAACACCAGTAAATGATTATTCTTGAAAAAGTGGATGATATTCCTCACAGATTTGGTATGAATTTCTCATTGGGGAGAAGAATCACATGAAGTACATCATTCTGCCATTTGATGTCCTTGGAAAAGTGGGAAAGTGGAGATTTCCCCTGGTTCAGCTAGGATCCAATTACATTGCATAGTTGTAAACGTTTTTTTACTTTGTCCTCTTTATTCAAGATTTAGGCCTACGTACCATGGTAACTAGGTTTTCAAACATGTTTTCAATATGATTATGCTTGCAATGATGGTTAATCCAGGAATTTGCTTATCCAATAATTTTTCAGCCCAAAAAAGTTCATAGGGTGTTCCACCAGCTCATTTTCTTTCCCACTCTTCTGAATGTGATATGTCTAGGCAGCTGTTACTGGCAGCATTAGTTATAACTGGTATCACATTGTCCATGACTAATTTGGCTTTTACCTCACTGCAATCTTAATGCTCATCACCAAAAAAATGCAACAAGGAGTTAAGCTGAAGTAGGAAAATTGGCTACTAGGACTCAGATGTGCAGATTAAAACTAATCAGAACTTCAATGTTGGATCTCTGAATGACAAAGATAAATGCTTAAATGGAGGAGGTTTTCTATTCATGCCAGCTGACTTAGACACCATTGTTAAATGCTCAGCTTCAGAGCATTTCCAAAATGACTATCATTGATATTTTTGCCAACTTGACCAGTTTGACTCGAACATGCTTTCCTCTAAGTGAATGGCACGCTCACAGCTGGGTGACTGAATGTCATTCCAATAGTATTACCAGCAATATCAGTGATGTTTCTCCACAAGTGACATCCTACCTCCATATATATAAACTGTATTGAATTCAGTCCATGCAGTTAAAAGTTTATGGTCCTAGTTTCATCAATATTACTTTTCCCCTTGGTGTTTTTCTGTTATGAGTTCATAGCCTCTCTATGTTATTTGGGTTGATTTTTGAGCTGCTGAGATGCTGCATTTCCTGAATGGTTTTGTTTTGCTCATTTTCCTGTATTTCTGTTGCATTGAAGCGATTTATTTATATTATAGAAGAAAAAAAATGGAAATGCTTGAAGATTGTACATCCAAAAGTTTTTTTTTAGAGAGATGTCACTGAAGTATACAAGACTACCCATAAAGACAATAATTGCATTATGGATGAGTCCAATGTCCTCCCTGCTGTCATATCTCAGCTTGGAAGAATGAAAAATTCCTGGCTGTATGAAAGCATTTGGCTTCTGAACCAACTGAGGCTGAAACAAAATGCCTAGTTGATTTTCATAGTCAGGGTGGTTCCCTTGCAAGACATTGAGGAAGCATAACATTATCAATCCCAAGCATTTCAGTGGAAATAATCCATCATCTTTGGGTACTTCTCTTGCCTCAGGCCACGTGCATTCAAACAATTGAATGAATGTGAGCAAATCTGGAGGAAACTGTTGATGGATAGATTGGCAGGCAAATCTCTATGAATCTGTGGACCAACTTTGCTGTAGAGGGTGGCCAACATGTCCTTGCTCACAAGAGGACTTAATTTAAATTTTGTGGTGATACTTCAACCAACACCAGGGAGTGGATGAGAAAGCTCTGGTGTCATTAATTGCACAACTGGTGCAAATCTTCATCAGAATTATGCTTCTGAATAATTATTCCATTACTAAAAATATATGACAATACCAGGTTTGAGCATGTGATTCCTTCACTCCTCTAATCAAGGGCCAGGTTCTTGGTCTCTGCATACATCACTTATACTTCCCAATTTATGACATCAATGTCAAAGGAATCGATAGCTGAAAACTGGATCCTCTTTGGTCCCCTCTTCTCCATCTTCATATTTCCTCCATTTCCTTCCTCTGAACATTGGAAACCAAAGCCATCAAAATCCATGCCATGTGATGAATTGTCCTCTCTTTGTATGCTCAGGATGGCCTGTTGCCCTTGAATGGTCAAAGATTTTCTCATACTCCCAACACATTGACATGTCAAAATGGAGTAAATTGGGCTCAACCATGAAGCCATTGTTACCCCACATATGTATCACAGTGACATCCCTAAGAAATTATTGGATGTACTATACCTTGTTTTGCAATATGGTTCCCCTGGATGCAGTGCATCTACAGGCAAAACTCCAAAACTAAAATCCTGGTGAAATTAGATTTTTTTCATGCAGTGTTCTTACAATTTCTTGGTTCTTTGGGCAATTCAGTGAATTGGAATGCCATGGATCAAATTGAATCTGCAGACACCATTGATTAGTATTTGAATGCTGAAGTACCCTTGGCAATCTCCATGTGTATCTTAGGCTTTTCCCATGAGTTCAGGATTAGAGGAATTTACTACATGTCCTTGGTTTGAAAGTCATAAATTGAAACATTGTTTTTTTTTTTAAACTACAATTGTACCATGTGCAGTCTTTTTTACTGTTTTTTTTATTATTATTATGAAGTGATAATTTTGCTCTGTAGTGTTTGGTTTACATGTTTTGTCCGTTGCATTGTTTGCATGAGAAGAGAGTATCTCTTTGGGGAACAAAAACTCAACCATATGCTTTTTTTTGTCAAGGTTACTTTATGAGGTTATCAACTTCTAGTGTTAGTAGGGGGTATCAGCAATGTGAAGGTTTTGGAGATTTCAGACCTCTGTAGCACTGACAACTTTGAGAGAAGTATGTAAAACAATGTTACTCAGATCTGTTGAAAAATGTTATTTTACAATTTAATTCTGTTGAAAGGGTTAGGAATGAAATAATGGTTTGATAAAGCATTTTAGCTTACAGTAACTAGTACTCTGATAGGAAACTTATTGAGTGATCTAACCCCAACCTGTCTCAGTCTGACATATTTATGTCTCAAGGGAAGTCACATGAATCTCTGCCAAAAGTGCAATATATATTTAAATAAAACATGTATGCTAAATCCTATTGATTCCCATGTAAGCTTGATTGTATTATTACTTTTCATAGTCGGCATGAACTGTATGTATTTTGGTAGGCTGATGGGACAATATTTTTTTTGCACTGGATCTGCAATATATAGGTGGCTCTTGCATTTGACTTTATTTAAATATGGAAGAGATCACTGTATCACTTTTTCTCACTCACCAAAGATAAACTCACACTAGCTCAATATACAGGGGCAATCCTAGTTAGGCTGGGGCTCATTCAGACTTGAGCCTATTGGTGACCTTAGCTCATGTTGCTCAAGTTAGCTTAGATTTGCCCATATTCTGTACATTGTGACATGGTTTTTTTCATGCTCAATATTTCATGACTAAAGCACAGAATGTAGCCAAACATATGACTCAACATTGGATTATTCTATGATTGTCTGTTTTAGTCAAACTAATCAACACTTGCAATCATAATGTCAAAAGCAACTAATGTGATTGCAGGCATTGATTAGATAACCCTTGAAGTGTCAACTAGTTTTCAACATCTGAAATGATAAGGTGAACACTTTGAACAGCCTGACCCCAAAGGTTGAAATGCCCCTCCTTACTTTGGCATGAAGTCTCAGACAAAATTATAGATTTAATCCCAATATGCTTACATTAAAGATCAAATGAGCTCAAATCTAAGACCATTTGAAGGAGCTTGAAAATGATCTTAACTCACCCATGTTAGGGAGATGAACTACAATGCTTGCGCATGACAGTAACAGAGAGACGGTTAATAGAGAAACTTTCAGGATGGAAAAAGACATAGCTACTTTTAGTTACAATGTTTCAATGGGATTGTTGAACAGATAAGATTCTTCTCACGAGCTGGAATGCTTAAAAAAAAGAAAAGATCTGTATTGTATTTGCCTTGTGAACAAATATTTTTATCTTCACTGTTGACACGTTGAAGTTATTTTAATCTGTATGGAGGATAAGTACCTCTGAACAGATTATGTTTCACTCTGTCCTTGACTAGTTTTGTCCACAATCATCTCTCTTGAAGCCCCCATGTTATGCATTATTCTATGATGTGGGGATCTTCCATTTACTGTACAGGTTGTTCCATAATTAACTATTTCAAGAAATAATACAGGGTGTTTCAAAAGTCCACACTCATGGGTATTTTGAGTGCACCAAAATTAGTACAGAAGTACTAAGAAATATTCAGAGGGGGTTATATGCCAGGATTGATATGTGTATGCACGTTCATGGCATGCAATATGAACATTTAATGAAATAAAGGTAAATTAGGAAATCTGCCTATGAGTCCAGACTTTTGAAACACCCTGTATTTTCCAGCCTGCTGAAAGGAGGTTAACGCTCTTTGCATCAATGCATAGTTAGTGTAGAATTTGTTTTGTAATAGAGCCATGAAGTTGCAGTGAATAAAAATTTATTTTGAGCACATTATATATCGGTACCTTTTTGAGCATAGTTTGATAGAATCTCTTTAGACTATTGAATAAAGTGCCAATTCTTTGTGCATCTATTTTGCTTTTTTTGTATGAAAGATGCTGCTTATAAAAAGAATATCTCTAAAGAGAATAGAAAAGAATCAAGTAAAATTCTTGCTTGTTCATTAATTGCTGAAAGGCCATCTGCAAGGAACCAACTTAGCACTACCATCACTTTACCATACTGTCCAATTTCCATACCCCCAAGGTTGATAATGACACTACACTGCTGGGTTGCTTGCATGATTAATAGCTGCACAGAGCACATGTGCCATATTTTTGAGCCACAAAAACCACCTGCTTAAAAAAAAATTTTTTTTTTTCATTCAAAGAAAAGGATCAGTTCAGTGCTGCAGAGAAATGAGTTGACCTGTAACTAATAACCCACATTGAAAATTGTAAGCAGTGAACTGAGAGACAAAAGGACTAGTAAGCAAATAAATGCAATCAGAAGATTCAGAACTCATCTGTTATTTCACTACACCAAAGTCCAGCTGTGTTCTAAGTCAGGAGTGCCTTTGATAGAAGAAATTAAATTATTTTTGCTGTATTTTGCATGACCATCTTATCATGTGTGAATAAAGCCATGGTTTGCCCCAATTTTGTTCTAGCCATTGTTCATCTTTGTTGTCAACCTGAAGAACCACTGTGTTGCCTTGCATGGCTGCCTTGAATAAAGTATGCTATTGCATTTCTGTCTGCCTTTTTCTGTGATTTGCATTAGTAAGTTTCAAAGAGGAATACCCTATTTCAGTCTTTGATCTATTTTTGATGGCTGCAAAGGGTTGAGTCTTTGTTAGCTCTCAGTCATGTAATCTCCACATCTAGCACTCTGAAAGAAGGATTTGCATTGTCTTCTTGCAAATTTATCATTAGTTCTGCTTTTCTTTCACTGGGACTCTCACAAACTCATAATATGATCAAGAAGACCTTTGCTCTTTTTTTGGACTCTTCAATTAAATGATTGTCTGCATGTTCCTGAAGAAACTGCAGCAGATCTTTTGCTTAAAGTGTGAATTATCAAAGGAAGAAATCCATGGATGTACTGATGCACTGGTCACCTGAGATAGTACAGAAATAAGTAATTTTGTTATAACAACTTATATTAGTTATCTGTTATTCATCAGGTGGAGTATTGTATACAGTGGGCTTGCCCTGCAAGTCTGGGTCATACTGGAGGCCTATGGCACTTATTCCCAGGCTGTTATATTGAATGGATGGGAGTGTGCTTGATTTTAATCCAGCTTCTCAGTCAAGCATGGCATCAGATGCATTTGGATTTGAACTGCTAGCCTTAGATCTTGGTGTATCTCTTATTCTTTGCACTTACCTAGCTACATGCATTTCATTAATGGGTCTGTGCATACCTGGTCATAATTTTATTCATGAAATAATGTTCCTAATAATGAATCATCTGCTGCACTATCTTGAAGTTTTTTGGTCCCATATGCATAGCCTGGTTTTTAAAAAAAAAAGTGGGAACTCTGGGATACTGTTATGCATTTCTCCTGGTTCATGAAAGATTTCTATTCCATATGAAAGCCCATCTAAAAGCGCAAATATCATCAGCAGTTTGAGCTATGCATATTTTTGGTGTAGAGTGTATGAAAGGAACAGTTACAGGCTGTAAGCTGTGCTGTACTATTAGTGATGTTCTCTATCAGCAGTCACTGTTGACTATTAATAGAATGATTGAACACCAAGAACATTTTGGACATGTAATTTCTGGTTTTACATTTCATCAATTTCTGCAAGTCTGGTTCCTAGTAATATGCATGCAGATACTGCACAAGGTGCAAGGGGAGAAGTGAAAAGTGGGTAGTAAAAAATTTGAATGATGCAACACTGGGTCTGGCAGCATGTATCTGGCTTCCATGAAGACCTTGATGAAGATTTTGATCCGCACTGCCCAGCCAAGCAGGAGGGCATCCTGTGCCACCATCCTGGGGATTGAGAGCAGCTGTGATGACACTGGTGCAGCTGTCGTGAATGAAGCTAAAGAGATACTTGGCGAGGCTCTTCACAGCCAAAAACAGCTTCATATTGAGTAGGAGTAAATAAAATTGCATTCCATTCCTAGCTACACTATTGCAGTAGACCATATGATTTGAGAGTAATGTTTTTCCTGCCAACAGCTTTGGTGGAATCATCCCTCCCTTTGCACGAGAGCTGCATAGGAAGCATTTACCAGCAGTGGTTGACTCGGCACTCAGTGCAGCACGAATGACAGTCTCAGATGTAGATGCCATTGCTGTTACTGTCAAACCTGGTAAGCATGATGCATGGAAAGAGATAGAGCTGAAAATGAGTTTGAAATAAAGGGTGTTGTAAGCAGCTTATGCCAACAGAGATTGCTTCATTTATTACTTTGGAATCTTGCTTCTAATTATTCTTTAGGACAAAGCTTAAACTGTCTTCTTGAATTGAAGCATTCTGATTGTACTTTCATCAGAGTCCACAAATGTTTACTAAATTTTTATGTGAAATAGGATGCTTTCATAGCCCTTGCTTTGGGAGATTACAACTTTTACTTTGTTTAGGATATTAAGCTCCTGCATGTCTTCAGACATTGTGACAAAGAGTAATTTTTTGCTTCTTATAATTTTAAATCTGCTTGCTTACTGGAGATGATAAATAATAATTTCTCAAATGAAATACAGTAGTTAGGTGAAAATCAGTTGAAAATGTTAAACTCTTTCTGAGCACATACTTTCCGTTCAGAAAGAGTCAGGCAACCTAGCATCTGTGGTTCGCAGACATTTCCTGAAGCAAGAAAATATCTGATGAATGAGTTTTCTGGTGATCCACATTCAATCAATTTGCCTTCCACAGTTTGCAAAAAGAAATATTCATTGCTAAGTATCTATTGCTGTTTTTCAATTTCAGTATTCTGTTATGGTGCTGAATGAGTACCAAAAAAACTTCTGAAGCAAAATGTTCTGTGATGGTATTGAATGGCTGTTTTTTTAATATATACTTAGGTTTGCCAGCTTCCCTCTTGATGGGAGTTGAATATGCAAAAGACCTATGCCGAAAGTGGCAGAAACCCTTTATCCCCATTCATCACATGCAGGCACATGCATTAACTGCCAGGCTTACCCACTCTGTAGGCAAGTTAAATGCTCTTCAATGAGAAGCATAATTTGAAAACAATGCATTTTGCATGTGTTTCATCACATATATGCCTTATTTGTATTTTCTAAATGTAGAGTTCCCATTCTTGGTACTTTTGGTATCTGGAGGGCATTGCATTCTGGCTCTTGTGCGTGGAGTCACATCATTCTCCATCCTTGGTTCCACATTGGATGATTCTCCTGGAGAGGCCCTTGATAAGGTGAAGGTAGTTTTTGCATTTTTGGAATACGTTTCATGAGGAGTCTAAAGGTGAATTTTTCCAACAGAGTGCCCGTCGGATGAAGCTGAGGAATCTCCCTGAGCTCTCCATGTTATCAGGAGGAGAAGCCATTGAGAAATTGGCTCAACAAGGAGATCCTTCTGCATTTCAGTTTCCTTTCCCCTTGGGAAGAGCACGTGATTGCAATTTCAGTTTTTCTGGCCTCAAATTCTACTTATTGAAAACTATCCGAAGGTTAGAGGAAAAACAAAGTGAGTCCAAAAAAATGTGTTATTTTGAGACATGAGGATTCATCCTTGAATGTCAAATACAAGCTTATTGCTTCCATTGTAGAGGTGGAGGGAGATCAGTTGGTTCCTGAATTGGCAGACCTTTGTGCCTCCTTCCAGTTTACGGTGATGAAACATCTTTGCACTCGAGTCCAAAGGGGCATGGGATTTCTTGATCTCAATGATTTGATGCCAAAAAATGAAAGAACTTTGGTATGTATGCCTTGAACTCATTACAGTTATTTCAGCTGTGCATTTATTTGACTTTTCCTTATTTTTGCCTCCTTCCTTTGAAAAATTAATTTGAAAACTCCCCATGGGGGGAGTTTTCAAATTTATTTTGAACATTTACAGAACATAATGATTAACTATGTCTCACAAATTCGGTTATGTAGACAGATCTTTAATTATGAATGGTACTTTCACACGTAAAATAAGGGTTTTGTGTAGTATTATTTAATGGTGAGACCAAAGTCTTGGGAAAGTTGGTTTATTAGGATATGTTGCTCCAAATATTTTCTATTTCATGCTAAAGGTTATACCCTGAAATTTATCATAGATGTAGCTCATAGACAGAACGTGGGTAAATAAAGGTTTTATTGAAAGTTTTTGATGGTGAAGGCACAGTTAAAATGAGAAGTAAAGCCTGCAATCATAGGGGAAGCTGTGGTGGCTGTGAGTGGCTGGATGAAGTATCACCATCTATTTTTGACGGATATGGCCCCTTCCCTTGAAAGATTTCATTTTGTGACATGTATTTTTATGTTCTTCTCTTGTTCCAGGTGGTTTCCGGAGGAGTGGCAAGCAACAACTTTCTTCGGTCTGCTTTGGAGCGTGTATGTAATGAGTACAATTACAAATTGGTTTGCCCCCCACCACGTTTGTGCACAGACAATGGGGTCATGATAGCCTGGAACGGGGTGGAAAAGTGGATAATTGGCTGTGACATCACGCATGAATTCGACTCCATTGTTCCTGAGGGCAGGTGTGTAAACAAAACTACTCACGTGTTTGAATTATTGTGGGAAAGAAACTGACTTTTTTACTTGTAGAGTGGTAAATGCGTGGAATGCGTTAGACGACGACGTAGTGGCTACCGTGACTACCCTTCCGTGACTATTTTTAAGAAGAAACTAGATGCTTTTATGGACAAGGAAGATGGGGGGGCAATGCTGACTTAAGGGACAAGGCAATAAGTTACTAGGATATGCTAAAAAAAAAAACACAAAACTCACAAAAACACAAAAATATTTAGCTTAGAGGAGGTAGGCCTACCCTAAAACTAAGGAACGCTCGACCTCGACACGTGGTATCCCTATGGGTCTTATCGCCTCGTGATGCCACTAAACAACCATGAAAACCATAACATAATTTTTTAATATTTTTTTAGGTGTCCTATTGGTGAGAGCATGGTAGAATTGGTGCAAGAAGCCCAGCTGAGGTGCCATTGGGTGCGCATCAAGGATAGGTGACATTAGTCAACTGATGTTAGTTTAGTCTGTTGTTTTATTAAAGAAGAGGTTTTGTTATCTCTCTGAACCTGAGACTACTTCAATACAGCATTTAATATGTACGTGATGCATACATATATTAGGCTGGGAAAACCTTCGCGAACCTGCGGACGAAGTTCGCGGAAACGGCCTTTTCCCGAAAGATGCGTTGGCGGGAATGGATGAAAAAATTGAAAAAAATATGCATGCAGAAGGTGGGGCAAGGAAAAGTGCAACAACAGGATAAAGGTAATAAATGAGATTTTCAAGTCAAAACATGGAGAACACTGTATTTTAGGTTCCCTCCGTCACCAAGAGACAGCCGTACTATATATGCATCTCCCGAGTACGATTGGAGCCTCGAACGTGAGACTTGCTGTCCTGTTCACCGTTGGCCACTGAGAACGGGAAGTCAACACGAATCCTGTGGCTCTATTTTTCGCGTCGTAGAGAGATCGAGGCTCCATCTAGTGAATTCGAATCACCGACTTACAGCTGTGATCTTGATTATGCTTTGTGAAGCCACGGTCATATATGCCATCATCGTACTAGTACATGGAATACTCGCATCGTACTTCATCTTATGAGATTATCAGAATATCGAAGACTAAGGATTTTTCAAGGAGGGGAATGGGGGGGTTGAAATGAGACAAGTCATGTGCCTCGGAAGGTTGCCGCCGACAGAGTTTATGCAGTGTACGCTGCGATTTCTTGGGCTTAAAGGGGCAGAAGTATGTACAGGGTGCGTGAGCTATTTGAGAACAAAATTTGACTTTGAGGAAAACAAAAATATTCAGTAGAAAAACCAATATATTTTCATAGAATTTGGTACACATGTTCTTACATACACATAGCAAAAGGCTATTCAATAAGACTGCCTTCAACCTCGATTACGGCCTCGATGCGGCTTCTTATATACAGGGTGTGTCAGCTATTTGAGAACAAAATTTGACTTTCAGGAAAACAAAAATATTCAGTAGAAAAACCAATATATTTTCAAAGAATTTGGTACACATGTTCTTACATACACATAGCAAAAGGCTATTCAATAAAACCGCCTTCAACCTCGATTACGGCCTCGATGCGGCTTCTGAAACGACTACATGCGTTGATCAGGTGATCCTTATTTATGTTTGCCATAATGTCCCCGATGGCAGCCTTCAACGAGTCTTTGGTATTATGGGCATGCTTCTTGGTCTCCCTCTCAACGATGTCCAAGACGTAGTAGTCCAGGGGGTTTAAATCAGGAGAGCTAGGAGGCCAAATGTTAGGGGTACATGATCGTGAAAATTTTCGGCCAGCCACTCCTGGGTCGTGCTGGCTGTGTGAGAGGGAGCAGAGTCTTCCTGGAACACGTACGGCCTCCCCCGAGCCGAGAAGCTGTCAAGCCCTGGATTGAGGGAGTGGCTCCAGCAAGACTCTGTGAACATGTGTGAACAACATGTGAGAACATGTGTATCAAATTCTATGAAAATATATTGTTCTTTTCTACTGAATATTTTTGTTTTCCTCAAAGTCAAATTTTGTTCTCAAATAGCTGACGCACCCTGTACGTTTTTCGAGATTCGCAATTCCCTCACGTAAATGTCCTAATCCACGAACCGGAGTAAACACTTTTTATCATCGGGGATTGTCGAAGTACCATAGAGAATCAGGGTCTGCACCCGCAATGCTTTATTTGTGTGGGATTTGACGTACACAGGCGGGTACTGCTGAGGAGGCATATATGCACTGACAGTCGTTTCTTTGGCATTGAACGGGAAAATATACTTTTTTGCGATGTTCACAACTAATACCTACGAAGAATCTCCTAATACCACCATAACTTGTTGCATTTAACACCATGTGATTCTAAAAGTTCCCTGGTGTAACTTCCGGCAAATAGAATCACTTCAATTCATAAGCAATACATTTACTGGGGGTCACACCCCGTGAGTGAACGCGCTTTGCGTATTATGGAGTTTCATTGTGGGGCACGAGATTTCGTACGGTCACTCAATAAAATGTTCGATAAAATCTCACGCAAAGTTGCAAAGTTCACAGCAGGGGTAGACGCTCACCTATAACCGCGTACCTACGTATATTCTGGACAATGTTGGCGCAACAGGAAATAGCGGATCGACTGACATTCTCGATAAAGCGTACTGACACTTCTCCTCAATCTTATCTTGGAGCTGTTATCTGGTGCAGAGAGCAAGCAGATATTATCTACATTTGGTGAGAGCATGGAAACATTTTATACTGCGCTAATCCTGCTATTCTGTCATGGGTTAATGCAGATTGAGCATCGCCCACATTATAATATTATTTGATATTGTTACGGAGGGGAGGAGACGGACGGCATGAGAGGACGAATGAAGCCAAGGAACGGCCGGGAATTGAACCCGGGCCTCCTGATTGCCNCATGAGAGGACGAATGAAGCCAAGGAACGGCCGGGAATTGAACCCGGGCCTCCTGATTGCCGGTCAGGTGTGCTACCACTACACCACCGAACCCCGGACATTCAGTCGAGCCTCTCGATGCCATCCTCATCCGTCACAATATTCGTTAAAATATTGAAACTCTCATATACTCGTGGGCCCCTATTGACCTCTCCCACCCTTTTCGCCCTCTCCATGGAGCATGTACTCGGTGCTCTCACCTTGGGCCGGTTTATTATTTTCTCTGGCCCAACCTTGCCTGGTTACTCCCTTTAAAACTTGGAGGACTTCTCCATTCCGGGACATTCCCGAGCATTTCCATGGGATACTTTGGTGACACTCCCCAACATTCGTGGTGGCATTCCCAAAAAGCATTTGTAATCGTCCTTCTTCAACTTGACCCTACCCACAGAAAAGAGTGCCCCTTTTCTTCGCATCGGGACCTTGAGGCTCTTCGCCTTCCTGTTGGTGTGCGGTCTCTCTGCCATCATCTCTTCTCCGATGGAAAACTCAGAGGACATTTTGTCCCTTCTCCAATTCCTCAGTTCGTTGACCTACTTTGAAGGATAGTTAATGTATTTCCTGGACTATAAATAAATTGAAGAGTTCAGTTATTCCCTGTCGCATTCTACTTGCCACGCAAATCTTGTTCACGTGGTGTGCGGTGCCAGAACCTACGCCTTTCTCCGCCGCACTACTAACCAAAGTAGCGGCCTTAGAGCCAATATACAGCGTCAAACAACGTGACACCTAGTAGTAGCAGTTTTTCCTTCGTTTCCCTAAGCGTCTCTTGGAAGGATGAGAGCCAAAATTCTAGATGATCTGAACCTGTTATTGCATGAAGGATTGAAACGAATTGACTTGTCGAGCATAAGTCATATGATCGCATCCATGAAATGGAGATGCTTAGCTACTATTGATCTAGAGGGAGATCGAACCAATTACAGACTATTGCACTTCTATCTAATATTGTCTGGGGAATCTGGGAAGAAAATATTTCGAAATTCATCGCTTTCAGTAGTAGAAATTCGCCAAAATCATACAACCATTTTTTTCACTCCACTATATATCTCAGAACTTCTTGTGGAAACGGCTGGATGAATCTTAACGCTCTTTGACGAACAGGAGGATGGGGACGTCTCCAAAGATTCAAGCATGCATTTTCCGTTGTCGTGTAAGTGAGCGAGACAAGAAGCTTATCCGTGAAGCTCGAATTGTCTAAAATGGAAAACGGGTCTCATGGAGTTAAGCGAAGCATTCTTGAGCTCACCGTTTAGTACGCTCTGGGATGAGGAGAATGACGCAGATTTCATGAATCTAAGATGAGGAGTTCTTGAGACGAGGGTGTTCCAAGAGAGGCATGGAAATTGTGACCTTAGACTTTCGCCACAGTCGTCACCAGAGAGTGCCAAGAAGGGAATCCAAGGCCATCCCTTGGGAACAATACAATAATTCTCTACAATAATTATGAGCCAAAACTATAATCCAGGGAGGTCGATTTTCATATTCCCTTTGTCACTTGAAGGGCTTCCATTTGAGATACTGATACGCAACATCGGGGTAATATTCAGGAAATTAGCGAATTGGGGACCAACTTCAAGATCTCATTTCTTTCTGGAATTGGGGGGGGGGGGGTCCACACCTCTAAAAATTTGATCATAATTCGCCCTTATTAATAATCAGTTTCATTTCATAATAAGTCATCTCATAAGCCAATTTTAAAGAAAGTCTATGTGAATTTAGCTCTCAACCTGGTTGAGGTGATGAGGAACCCAGTCAAAAATGTTCGTTGGTTCATCTTCGGACCATTGCCGGGGGAGGTGGCCTATTTTCGACGAATGATTGGCAGATCAACTCACACTTGTGAGTTGGCTGGCCAATCATTCCCGAAGAAAAGATCGTCCTTCATCTCTTCCAGATGAAGGAGCAGGAAGAGGTCAAAAGATGCATGCTCTTCACGCCAATATATATAATGCTGTGGATGCAATTTTCTCGTCGGTTTTTTCCTATATATTTTCACCATTGTGGAAAGTCGGCCGATGGTTGGGGCATATGCGGTTTCCCAACAATGAGCCAAAGTTGGTTCAACGAAGGGCCGACAGGACATGTCCGACTATAAGCCGGCTTAAACTTACCGTGAGACAACCATATAGCAATGATGGCCGAACTATGGCTTATATGCGCGTCGGCGAAAATATATCGATGGCCAACGAACAATTTTTGCCTGGGAATCACCCCAAAAGAAGTAGCTTCTAGCGCGTTCGCGGGGTTCCATCTCACTTCATGGAAAGGCACTTCCTCGACAGGCATTTCTTCAATGGGCGACAGACACTTCTTCCTCGACTCAACATTTCTGCATAAGTCATTCCAAGGAATTGTACGCATAGCAAACC